ATTGTGGCCTACAACTTGTTTAATGTAAATTTTGTCCCTTTGTCCCCTGTAAAAGTGTTTTTTTGTTATTTGTAATGTAGGCCATGTCACTCAGCCTAATTTTTTTTAGTTAAGTAATGGCGCCTCCTGGGGGCCAAGCTCGGTCATAATTAGTTAGTATTAGTGCTCTTACATGTCCCCTGCAATTTTCATTAAGTTTGGTTAATAAATGACCGAGTTATAAGGTTTTTTGTTTAGCGCAATTCTGTTTTCTGAGTGACCGTAGGTAACTGACCCCCTACCTGGCCTCAGGCTAGTTGGTAGGCATGGGTTTGTCTTTTAAAAGCTGCGGGCACTTGTGCCACAACTTTTAAAAGCTGTTTGAGCAAATTTGGTTGGTAATAACCAGAGTTATTACCAGTTTACCTGAAAATGCACCTCCAGCCAAAGAATTTTTAATATTTTGTGTAAACTGTTTTTTGAAGTGTTTATTGTAGTATTTATGTAAATGTTTTATGTTTTATTAATGTGTTTTACCCTTCTGGACCAGATAATTCATATTTTTTATTGTTAACTCCAATCTTTATAAAATTTTACTGTCAGAATGTGTTGTTAAAGTTTGTAAGTTTCAAAAGTCTATTTATTGTTATGTTTTTAGAGCTTTATTCAACTGAACTAAATTTATTTGTAGTAATTTTTCCCATTCTATCTTTAAAGACAGTTTAATAAAGGAAAGCCATTTAAAAGAAAAATATTTTTTATCAAAATATCATTGTAACAGTTTTGGTCAGCGACCAGTGGTGCGGAAAAGTTTTTTGGATTTATTTCTTGAAAAGCTGGGTAGGCCTATTATTACACCCAAATGAAGCCTAATATATGAACAATTACTAGTTGGACCTGGAATTTGTTAAAAGGGTCCCAGATGAGAGGCTTCATTCTGCTGCTTCCGGAGAGGGTCGCCCGGGGAGACACTACAACTTCTCCTTCTTCGGGCTGCCCGTCACCCTGCTTCTGGGACCAGTAGAACACTACGCCTTCTACCACCACCGCCTACCACCAGGAAGGACAATGACTATGATGTGCAAAAGGAAACCGCAAGTTTTATGTTTAGGCATGAATATTTAAAAGGACTGTTATTTAAAGGGGCCCCAAAATAATTCATCTTCGGTTATTTATGTGTCATAGTCATCGTTATTTTTTTAATTGTTATTTATTTAATTGTTATTTATTTAATTGTTAATTCATTCAAAGTTTATATTGCAGTTACCATCCTTAAATTATTAGTTAGGCCTAACTTTTTCACAGTTAAGTTACCATTTGTAATCTGGAAGGGTAAATTTTTTGAGAAAAGTGTTATTTAAAATTGATAAATTCTTTGGATGGGGAAATGATCGTTGTTTGATGTTATTTGTAGATTTTGAAAATTATAGGCTTTGTTGACAACTGTTTGTTTTTTGATATTCACCCACGGCCTTTCATTTTGTTAGGGATGTGGGGCGGCCACTCGCACTGTCACTATGGGGGGGCATGCTTCCAAAAGTTGTTCGTCTGGGGGCGGTGCGAGGGGTCGGCTCAACACAATTGTACAACCTTGTACAACCTTGTACACACTTGTACACAATTGTACAACCTTGTACAACCTTGTACACACTTGTACAACCTTGTACACACTTGTACAACCTTGTACACACTTGTACAACCTTGTACACACTTGTTCAACCTTGTACACACTTGTACAACCTTGTAGACACTTGTACAACCTTGTACACACTTGTATAACCTTGTACACACTTGTACAAACTTGTACATTCTTGTACATACTTGTACTCCCTTGTAAACACTTGTACAACCTTGTACAAACCTGTACACCCTTGTACACACTTGTACAAGCTTGTACACACTTCTACAAGCTTGTACACACTTGTACACCCTTGTACACACTTGTACAACCTTGTACACACTTGTACAACCTTGTACACACTTGTACAAACTTGTACACCCTTGTACACACTCGTACAACCTTGTACACACTTGTACAACCTTGTACAAACCTGTACACCCTTGTACACACTCGTACAACCTTGTACACACTTGTACAACCTTGTACAAACCTGTACACCCTTGTACACACTTGTACAAGCTTGTACACGATTGTACACCCTTGTACACACTTGTGCACCCTTGTACACACTTGTACACCCTTGAACACACTTGTACAACCTTTTACAAACTTGTACACACTTGTACAAACTTGTACATTCTTGTACATACTTGTACACCCTTGTATACATTTGTACAACCTTGTACAAACTTGTACACAATTGTACAAACTTGTACACACTTGTACAAACTTGTACACCCTTGTACACACTCGTACAACCTTGTACACACTTGTACAACCTTGTACAAACCTGTACACCCTTGTACACACTTGTACAAGCTTGTACACGATTGTACACCCTTGTACACACTTGTGCACCCTTGTACACACTTGTACACCCTTGAACACACTTGTACAACCTTTTACAAACTTGTACACACTTGAACAAACTTGTACATTCTTGTACATACTTGTACACCCTTGTAAACACTTGTACAACCTTGTACAAACCTGTACACCCTTGTACACACTTGTACAAGCTTGTACACACTTGTACACCCTTGTACAAACTTGTGCACCCTTGTACACTTTTGTACACCCTTGTATACATTTGTACAACCTTGTACAAACTTGTGCACACTTGTACAAACTTGTACACACTTGTACAAACTTGTACACCCTTGTACACACTTGTACAACCTTGTACACACTTGTACAACCTTGTACACAATTGTACAACCTTGTACAACCTTGTACACACTTGTACACAATTGTACAACCTTGTACAACCTTGTACACACTTGTACAACCTTGTACACACTTGTACAACCTTGTACACACTTGTACAACCTTATACACACTTGTACACCTTTGTACACACTTGTTCAACCTTGTACACACTTGTACAACCTTGTACACACTTGTACAACCTTGTACACACTTGTACAACCTTGTACACACTTGTACACACTTGTACAAACTTGTACATTCTTGTACATACTTGTACTCCCTTGTAAACACTTGTACAACCTTGTACAAACCTGTACACCCTTGTACACACTTGTACAAGCTTGTACACACTTCTACAAGCTTGTACACACTTGTACACCCTTGTACAAACTTGTGCACCCTTGTACACTTTTGTACACCCTTGTATACATTTGTACAACCTTGTACAAACTTGTACACACTTGTACAAACTTGTACACACTTGTACAAACTTGTACACCCTTGTACACACTTGTACAACCTTGTACACACTTGTACAACCTTGTACACACTTGTACAACCTTGTACACACTTGTACAACCTTGTACACACTTGTACAACCTTGTACACAATTTTACAACCTTGTACAACCTTGTACACACTTGTACAACCTTGTACACACTTGTACAACCTTGTACACACTTGTAAAAACTTGTACATTCTTTTGTACACCCTTGTAAACACTTGTACAACCTTGTACAAACCTGTACACCCTTGTACACACTTGTACAAGCTTGTACACACTTGTACACCCTTGTACAAACTTGTGCACCCTTGTACACTTTTGTACACCCTTGTATACATTTGTACAACCTTGTACAAACTTGTACACACTTGTACAAACTTGTACACACTTGTACAAACTTGTACACCCTTGTACACATTGTACAACCTTGTACACACTTTTACAACCTTTTACACAATTGTACAACCTTGTACAACCATGTACACACTTGTACAACCTTGTACACACTTGTACAACCTTGTACACACTTGTACACCTTTGTACACACTTATACAACCTTGTACAAACTTGTACATTCTTGTACATACTTGTACACCCTTGTAAACACTTGTACAAACTTGTACAAACCTGTACACCCTTGTACACACTTGTACAAGCTTGTACACACTTGTACAAGCTTGTACACACTTGTACACCCTTGTACAAACTTGTGCACCCTTGTTTACTTTTGTACACCCTTGTATACATTTGTACAACCTTGTACAAACTTGTACACAATTGTACAAACTTGTACACACTTGTACAACCTTGTACACACTTGTACAACCTTGTACACACTTGTACACCTTTGTACAATGTGTACAAGGTTGTACAAGTGTGTACAAGGGTGCACAAGTGTGTACAAGGGTGTACAATCGTGTACATGCTTGTACAAGTTTTTACAACGTTGTACAAGTGTGTACAAGGTTGTACAAGTGTGTACAAGGTTGTACAAGTGTGTACAAGGTTGTACAAGTGTGTACAAGGTTGTACAAGTGTGTACAAGGTTGTACAAGTGTGTACAAGGTTGTACAAGTGTGTACAAGGTTGTACAAGTGTGTACAAGTTTGTACAATTGTGTACAAGTTTGTACAAGGTTGTACAAATGTATACAAGGGTGTACAAAAGTAAACAAGGGTGCACAACCTTGTACACACTTGTACAACCTTGTACAAAACTGTACACCCTTGTACACACTTGTACAAGCTTGTACACGATTGTACACCCTTGTACACACTTGTGCACCCTTGTACACACTTGTACACCCTTGAACACACTTGTACAACCTTTTACAAACTTGTACACACTTGTACAAACTTGTACATTCTTGTACATACTTGTACACCCTTGTAAACACTTGTACAACCTTGTACAAACCTGTACACCCTTGTACACACTTGTACAAGCTTGTACACACTTGTACACCCTTGTACAAACTTGTGCACCCTTGTACACTTTTGTACAACCTTGTATACATTTGTACAACCTTGTACAAACTTGTGCCCACTTGTACAAACTTGTACACACTTGTACAAACTTGTACACCCTTGTACACACTTGTACAACCTTGTACACACTTGTACAACCTTGTACACTGAGCCGTGACTTGCCCACCAAGCGTCCCACCAATGTCACGCCTCAGTGTTTTTTGTATAGTGCGAGTACTGGCTTTGCGCCGGTACTCAATCGGTTTGGGTCTGGCAGCAGTCCTGCAGACCCCGGGGCAAGTTTTCCGCTGTCGGACACATTTTCGGCAGAAGGACAGCGACTGTCATTACTACACACACAGTTTGTTTTGTTATTAATGTGCATAAATATGTATCTGCGTCCATCGTCAGAGAAGTTTGTTTTATCTTCATTGCCTTAACTCTTTCTGATGTAGTTTTGTGCGCCGTAGACGTCAGATGAGTAAGTTGATTGATATTTTGATTTGTTTAGGTTAGAAAGTTTCTGATTTAGTTTTGGCCTTCAGCCACATGTTGAGCAGGCTTTGAGTGGGTTTTGGCTAGTGAAAGACAAGTATTAAGCACCTTCTGTGCATTGGAATTACTTTTAATTACCAATTACTTGTTTTTCAAGGCGCTAGACCCATTTCTGAGGCTGGAATTGAACAGAGTTTTGTTAGGCCTTTGGCCAAGCTTTGTGTGGTCAGACCACAAGTTTTTCTGGTTAGTTTTGTAGTTTTTGTTGTTGCCAAGTTTTCAAAGCTTTCCCCGAGACTCTAGGCCAGATATTACCCAAGAAAACTCACTTTGAAACTCACTTTTGTGCGGGCTATGGTCCGTTTTGTTGTGTCCCTGTTAACTTATTTTTAGGCCTAAGGCCTAGTTTGTGCTCATTTTTGTTTTGTTATTGTGGCCTACAACTTGTTTAATGTAAATTTTGTCCCTTTGTCCCCTGTAAAAGTGTTTTTTGTTATTTGTAATGTAGGCCATGTCACTCAGCCTAATTTTTTTTAGTTAAGTAATGGCGCCTCCTGGGGGCCAAGCTCGGTCATAATTAGTTAGTATTAGTGCTCTTACATGTCCCCTGCAATTTTCATTAAGTTTGGTTAATAAATGACCGAGTTATAAGGTTTTTTGTTTAGCGCAATTCTGTTTTCTGAGTGACCGTAGGTAACTGACCCCCTACCTGGCCTCAGGCTAGTTGGTAGGCATGGGTTTGTCTTTTAAAAGCTGCGGGCACTTGTGCCACAACTTTTAAAAGCTGTTTGAGCAAATTTGGTTGGTAATAACCAGAGTTATTACCAGTTTACCTGAAAATGCACCTCCAGCCAAAGAATTTTTAATATTTTGTGTAAACTGTTTTTTGAAGTGTTTATTGTAGTATTTATGTAAATGTTTTATGTTTTATTAATGTGTTTTACCCTTCTGGACCAGATAATTCATATTTTTTATTGTTAACTCCAATCTTTATAAAATTTTACTGTCAGAATGTGTTGTTAAAGTTTGTAAGTTTCAAAAGTCTATTTATTGTTATGTTTTTAGAGCTTTATTCAACTGAACTAAATTTATTTGTAGTAATTTTTCCCATTCTATCTTTAAAGACAGTTTAATAAAGGAAAGCCATTTAAAAGAAAAATATTTTTTATCAAAATATCATTGTAACAGTTTTGGTCAGCGACCAGTGGTGCGGAAAAGTTTTTTGGATTTATTTCTTGAAAAGCTGGGTAGGCCTATTATTACACCCAAATGAAGCCTAATATATGAACAATTACTAGTTGGACCTGGAATTTGTTAAAAGGGTCCCAGATGAGAGGCTTCATTCTGCTGCTTCCGGAGAGGGTCGCCCGGGGAGACACTACAACTTCTCCTTCTTCGGGCTGCCCGTCACCCTGCTTCTGGGACCAGTAGAACACTACGCCTTCTACCACCACCGCCTACCACCAGGAAGGACAATGACTATGATGTGCAAAAGGAAACCGCAAGTTTTATGTTTAGGCATGAATATTTAAAAGGACTGTTATTTAAAGGGGCCCCAAAATAATTCATCTTCGGTTATTTATGTGTCATAGTCATCGTTATTTTTTTAATTGTTATTTATTTAATTGTTATTTATTTAATTGTTAATTCATTCAAAGTTTATATTGCAGTTACCATCCTTAAATTATTAGTTAGGCCTAACTTTTTCACAGTTAAGTTACCATTTGTAATCTGGAAGGGTAAATTTTTTGAGAAAAGTGTTATTTAAAATTGATAAATTCTTTGGATGGGGAAATGATCGTTGTTTGATGTTATTTGTAGATTTTGAAAATTATAGGCTTTGTTGACAACTGTTTGTTTTTTGATATTCACCCACGGCCTTTCATTTTGTTAGGGATGTGGGGCGGCCACTCGCACTGTCACTATGGGGGGGCATGCTTCCAAAAGTTGTTCGTCTGGGGGCGGTGCGAGGGGTCGGCTCAACACAATTGTACAACCTTGTACAACCTTGTACACACTTGTACACAATTGTACAACCTTGTACAACCTTGTACACACTTGTACAACCTTGTACACACTTGTACAACCTTGTACACACTTGTACAACCTTGTACACACTTGTTCAACCTTGTACACACTTGTACAACCTTGTACACACTTGTACAACCTTGTACACACTTGTACAACCTTGTACACACTTGTACAAACTTGTACATTCTTGTACATACTTGTACTCCCTTGTAAACACTTGTACAACCTTGTACAAACCTGTACACCCTTGTACACACTTGTACAAGCTTGTACACACTTCTACAAGCTTGTACACACTTGTACACCCTTGTACACACTTGTACAACCTTGTACACACTTGTACAACCTTGTACACACTTGTACAAACTTGTACACCCTTGTACACACTCGTACAACCTTGTACACACTTGTACAACCTTGTACAAACCTGTACACCCTTGTACACACTTGTACAAGCTTGTACACGATTGTACACCCTTGTACACACTTGTGCACCCTTGTACACACTTGTACACCCTTGAACACACTTGTACAACCTTTTACAAACTTGTACACACTTGTACAAACTTGTACATTCTTGTACATACTTGTACACCCTTGTATACATTTGTACAACCTTGTACAAACTTGTACACAATTGTACAAACTTGTACACACTTGTACAAACTTGTACACCCTTGTACACACTCGTACAACCTTGTACACACTTGTACAACCTTGTACAAACCTGTACACCCTTGTACACACTTGTACAAGCTTGTACACGATTGTACACCCTTGTACACACTTGTGCACCCTTGTACACACTTGTACACCCTTGAACACACTTGTACAACCTTTTACAAACTTGTACACACTTGTACAAACTTGTACATTCTTGTACATACTTGTACACCCTTGTAAACACTTGTACAACCTTGTACAAACCTGTACACCCTTGTACACACTTGTACAAGCTTGTACACACTTGTACACCCTTGTACAAACTTGTTCACCCTTGTACACTTTTGTACACCCTTGTATACATTTGTACAACCTTGTACAAACTTGTGCACACTTGTACAAACTTGTACACACTTGTACAAACTTGTACACCCTTGTACACACTTGTACAACCTTGTACAAACTTGTACAACCTTGTACACAATTGTACAACCTTGTACAACCTTGTACACACTT